ACACCCCCAAATGAAGGAAAAAATAAGAAAAGAGTACTACAGGCGTGAACGTCCGGTACTAAATACTGAGCTAAACTCAAAAAACAGGATATCAGCCATAAACACATTGGCTGTCCCTGTGGTGCAATACAGCTTTAATGTCCTTAACTGGACCATAGCTGAAATTAAGCGAGTGGACGCCAAAACGAGAAAGCTTCTTACTTGCTATCGCATGCATCATCCCAAACCTGATGTTGATCGTCTGTATGTGCCCAGATCTGAAGGAGGCAGAGGATTAGTTCAACTAGAACTGTCCTACAAAACTACAACAATTGGCCTCCAAAGATATTTGGAAAGTACAGAAGACTGGATGATGGTATGCGTCAAGGAACATGAAAGTACTAAGCGTCTTTACTCCGTAATGAAAGAAACCAACAAATTCAAAATGGAGTTTCAAATGGGCGTAGAGATGCAACTACAGCACAATACACGGGCTGAAACTGCAAAATACCTAAAAAAGACAGCAAAGACGAATGCAACCGACCAGATACAGAAGCGATGTCAAGATAAACCGCTTCATGGCTAATACTCTGCCCGTACCAAACAGGCTGACGTAGACAAAACCCGTACCCATCAGTGGCTGCGTAGTGCAGGGTAGAAAGCGGAAACTGAAGGTTTTATCCTTGCTGCGCAGGACCAATGCTTGCTAACTAGGAATTATCAAGCACATATACTAAAATATTGTGTCAGCCCAAAATGCAGATTCTGTGATAAATATCCAGAAACGATTGATCATCTTGTATCAGGTTGTACGATATTGGCACCCACTGAGTATAAAACCCGGCATGACAGAGTGGGCCAATATCTGCACTGGAAAATCTGCAACTTCTACGGGAAGGAATCTGAAAAAACTGGTATGAACACCAACCAGACCCGGTTACGGAGATAGGACCTGTTACAATTCTATGGGACTACACAATACACACTGACAGAACAATCAAGGCCAACCGCACAGATATTGTTATTAAAGACCACAAACAAAAACGGTGCCTCCTGATTGATATGGCAGTCCCTGCTGACTTACAATGTATCTTTGAAGATATTCAAAAGTTGTCAAAATACAAGGACCTTGAAATAGAAATCTCGAAAATGTGGCATATGGGAACATCAACAATCCCTATTTGTAGGTGGAGCCCTAGGACTGGTTGGAAAATATTGCAGTAGACTAATTGAAGGGATTCCTGGAAGTCCATGCCTCAAGGAGATACAAAAAATTGTTCTGACAAGTACAGTCCACACCTTACAAAGGGCTTTATCTATGTAATTTAATTTTTTTTTTTTTTGTCAGTGGAAAGTGTCATGACGCCATTTCTAACCTTAGGTCCCTGGGCGGGACCCGGAAAAAAATGTGTAAACGCCAGAAATCAAAGGAAATAAAAATAATATTATAATAAAATATATCCTTAAAAATCCATTTTGGTTAACATTTCATGAATATATTTAATTATTCACCTCTTCAGACCTAAGTTTTTTGGGGGTTTTTGGGGGGGTTTTTTTTAGAAATGAAATCAGTTTTTCCAGACAAAAGGAAAAGGGGGAGAAAAAAAAGAAAGGAAAAGGAAAAACTTTCATAAAAAAAGAGGAAGAAAGAAAAAAAAATCAATATAAGATTCTTTTCTTTTAATTTTGGGGAAAAGAGGAAGAGAGAGAGAGAGAGAGGGGGAGGGAGGAGGAGGAAGAGAGGAAGAAGGTTAGACAAAAGTGATAGATAGCGGGAAAGAAAAGAAAGAAAAGAAGGAAGAATTAAATATGAGCCGATAGGTTGACCTAGAAATAAATATTTCCTTAAAGGGTTGAACAAGTTCAATATACAGCCTAAGTGGGGGGGGGTAATAAGAATTAAAACAGGTACTGTAATATGTCTAAAAGACATGTCATTTCAGACAGCAAAAAACTCATCATCGCATTATAAACATCACAATTTCAAATTAATAATAATAATGATGATAATAATATCCGACATCAATAAAATAAATTAATTTAAATAAAATAAAAAATTTAAATAATACAAAAATTAATTAAATAATTAAATAAGTCAAGAGATAAATAGAGAACAACTTAAAAATCTACTATCTATATTTCTCATGTTGTCTGTCTGTGTGTCTGTCGTGGGCGTTGTTACCTCGCCCAGGCCGCATTTCTCACCCGATTTCGATGCGGTTTTCAACACAAGTTTGCAAATGGCTGCCGTAAGGACATGACGGAGCCCGATTTTTGAGTTCGGAATCAGGTTCCAAAAAATCGATAATCGAAAAAATTCTGCTTACAGAAGGAATGATCGCATTTCAACCAAATTTGACACCCTCTTAGAGTCTGCCATTAGAAGTGTTGCCCAGAAGTTTCATGACCACGGACCCCTAAACAGCGCGAAAAATCGATAAAACCCAAAAACCGATACGCCCAGATTGCGTCTGAACCGCATGTCGGTTTTTAGCGAAAACCGAACGGATTTATGAAGAGGCCATTCGGAGTCATCATGTGAAGTTTCAACTCTGAGCACCCCCAAACAGAGTGCAAATCGACAATCGGTCAACCCTTAAAAATGTTTTTTCCGGTTTTTTTAAAGCTGATCGTATTGTGTTTATTTTGTTTAGTTCTTTTTGTGGCACCATTTACGAGGCAGAGAAAGGAAAAGAAAGAAAAGAAGACAGAAAGAAAGGCGAGACGAATCGTGGGTGATCAGCAGAACACACACACGGCTAAGAGACAATGGATATATTGATAAGTAACGATGGCGAAAGGGTGTCATTACAATGACAGGGAAATTCTGGGTAAGAAGAAAGGGAAATAAAGAAAGAAACAGATGTGTTTTGATAACGGCTGTGTTATCTAGGAGTACGTAAACAAAACGGCTGCTCGACTGGCCAACGAAAAATTCAATTGAAAACGTTAATTTTGATAATTGACAAAACACAGGTGTAACTACAGGACTTTGGGTAGATATGAAAAATTAAAAGCCACACAAACCGTGTCCGCTGACCGATTTTTTTCGGCGAAACAACTTTGGCCTGCGAAAATAAAATTATGTTATCAGAAATATGTACCGAAGGAAAATGAATGGAGACCCAGGAGTGTTTTTTCTTCTTCCTTGGAGGCGACAGACTGACTGAAACTTTAGAGATATTTCTTTTTTGAGGCCGTGTTAAGAAGACCACCCATTTTGATAATTAGCGATAAAATACCTGACAAAAACCACGTGTAGATCAAGAGTTGTCATATTGTCCGTTTGCGGCTAGAAAAATGATAACGGCGATTAAAGCGGAAGAAAAGGGAAAGAGAAGAGATAATTTTTTTTTTTAGTTAAGCAAGATATTTTTTTTTCCCGAAACAAAGCTGCGGATTCGTTCACGCCGACTAAAACATCATTGGTCAAGTGGTGATCACGTGACGCACGAAGGAGGAGGAAAAGATACCCGACTAAGACCTCATTTGAGTGGTGATCACGTGACGCACGAAGAAGGCTGTCGACGCCTCATCCAGAGTATAAGTATGAGAAGCTGCTACGAGGAAGTGGGAGGGCAGTTCACGCCCCTCAGATGTATGGTGAGAAAGTGGGAGTGAGGAAAGGTTCCCAAAAAATGGAAAAGAGTGGAAAATCCCTAACCAGAAATAAAAAGAGGTGGATATGTATTTAGAATTATCGAGGACCCCCCCGACGCCGACAGACCCACCCCGGTTTTGGTCGGCGTTAATAAAAGCGAGGCCCCAACAGGCAGAAATCAGAGAGTTTGGGCTCCAGCGGAGAGTTGAGTTTCAGAGTTGAAGCCGCCTCGCAGATAGCTGACCAAGATTCACAAAAATTCCGGACTCCTCTTCAACCCAAGAACAATTATTTTGAAGAGCGACTCAGAACCAGACCACCGAAATAAGTTTTTTTTCGACTTTCGTCCAAAGACACACCGAAACGCCAATTTCTTAGAGAGCAAACAATTTGAAGCGATAAAAAACTTGCCTAACGGAAAACGACGTGTCACAATCCACAGAACGGGTCGGGAGATAGATGCAGTCCTATGTATCGAACAACTAGACATAAAGTTTGTTACCTTTTTCTTTGATACTCTGAACTTTTTGAGTTTTCATTTTATTTTATTTTATGCATATTTTGTGTAGTGTCACCCCTGTTGAACTCAGTTTGCATTACGGCCCCAACCACTGTTTGATCTCGTCTGCCTAAGATCAATTCACAACGTGGGTAGGCAGACTGGAGATCAATGCAGTTACCTTGGTAACCAGGCGTTGGAAGCGAGTTGGGAACGGCTGATATCAAATCTAACCAGATACCCACCCGAATCACCAAAAGGTTAGAACGTCACATTTGGGTGCCGCGACCGATACCAAGCCAGTTGGTCGTCACAGGACGAGACAACACAACTGACGCGACAGGCGGACGTCACGTTTGGAGCAGCGACACCCGAACGGAGCAGCGAGGAGCGAACAGCTGGCGCCGCGCCGAGGACGTCACAATTGGTGCTGTTTGGGGACGTCACAACTGGCGGCGAGGTAGATCAGGATAGAACGTCACAGTTGGCGCTGCGACCGGGGGACGACGTCACATTTTTCGTAACAGATTTAATGTTTACTATAGAGCTTAGAAAAAGGTGGCAGTGTGATATAGGCAAGAAGTAAGACATGTAACAACATCAGCACGGCAAAGGTCACTCCTCTAAAGGCAATGACGGGCAAAAATATTTTAAGTCAAGTGATAGCAATTGCTGTATTAGTCGTACTATTTTTGAATCAAGCACGGGCAACGCCGGGCCATGCTGCTATTATATAGATAAGGATAAAAATAATTAACGTAAAATTATCAAAAATTGATATAAAAATAATTAATAATTAACTGATGTAGGCAGAGAAATCACATAAATGATCATATACAAAAATGTGAATAGATATATGTATACATATTAGTACTCATATAAAACAGAATCAACACTTCAAGTGGATATTCTCCAAAATCAATGCTTTTAGGGGATTTTAAATTTGTTCTTGTGTCTACACTTGAAGATAAGTTCGTTCCTGTTATATTAAGTGAGTGCGTTTTTGAATTGCCATATTAGTAAATTCAAAAGAAGGTCTCACTTAAATTTTCAATATTTAACCTTAGCGTTCCGACTGCACGCTCCACAATTTTGTAACTGTTAAAAATAACGCACTTTATAAAACATATTTCGACGCGTATTACACTTATTTTCTATTGCATAAATCCATGCCTGATGACGATAGGATGACATATCGAAAGTACTAGCATATTTATGGAACATCTAAAAAGGAGGTTTGCATCATACTCTTTAAATTTGTTAGCGAAGTGAATACGCCATTTAGTACATTAACCTTATTAATTTATTCATTGTATGATTGCTTCATAGTAATACATGCATACATATATATGGTTGGATTAATGCGAGTTTGTGACCCTGGGTTTCTGACGATCGCAAAAGCCTGAAACTCAGGGTCACAAACTCACATCAATCCAACCAATTACGTTAGCTCTATCTCTGATATTGAGCGCTTTCTAGTAAGTACCGCGCATAGAATATATATATATATATATACCATTCGCAGACAGTACTCTTTCGCAGCTCCTCAGTGCGGCAAGCCCAGATCGAAACCCAACCGATTTGGTGTCAGTCAGAGCTTCTACCACTGAGCCATCTTCACTCGACAATACAAGTTAGCCAAATCCCTCATATTTTTTTTTACAAACTTCAACAAACGCCAAGCAGCCGTAGTGCTCTATTCATTTTACTGAAGAGCTTCGCACTTACGCAGGTGACCGTTTTTTTTAGAATAAACTTTCCATTCAACAGTGCTCATTTGTAAATATATTTTCAAGAGCTATATATAAAGAGCAATTTAAATTATATACCAGGCAGTGGTGATTAATTCACGGCTTGAGAGAAAGTCTCAGAATGCCTTCGCCATGGAAAATTCAATAATATCGAATAATATGAGAAGTTGTCGGACCGAGAATTTTTCAACATTTATTCATATATATATATATATATATATATATATATATATATATATATATATATATATATATATATATATTGTATGTTTTTACCAATTACTGCAACAGGTATTTTTTACAACGCCCCTTCCCCATTACTTATTTACACCGATTGCTATCATCTTTGAAAGAAACACGCTTAGAACTTTTCAGAATTTCAATAACAACTTCTCCTGATCGTTCGTGCTTTCAAGCAAAGTGCGTCCATTTTTATTTCAGGCAGATTGGTACGACGCATGCGCAAATGAATAGGAAATAACAGTCAACAATGCAAATAGATTTTTAGCTTCATTGTCCTAATAAAAATGAGGAGGGTGGGGGTGAAAGAAAATTGTCCGCCGCGATAGAGTATCGTGTCTGCCGTCCGAAGCGTGTTACGAAATGAAAACGATTTTAACAGACGTTGTTATTGACACAGTTGTGAAGAACATTTCAAAACAGAATGAAGAAAAAAAAAAAATTAATGAAGGGAAAAAAAGTAATTATTTCTTTGTTTTCGGTCTTTTGCTTTTCGAAATTGCAGACTTTATTTTCATTCGTGTTTGAAATAATAATTCATTCTATTAGTCTCGTGTTCCTTCACTTTCTTCCTTATTCTCCAAGTTATCTTTTTCTTGTTGTTTTTCATTGTTATTGTTATTGTTGATGATGTCTAATTTTCTTCTTCCTCTTCTTCTTGTTCTATTTCAGTCTCTCTCTCTCTCTCTCTCTCTATATATATATATATATATATATATATATATATATATATATATATATATATATATATATATATATATATATATAATATATATATATATATATATATAACTATATATATATATGTATATATATATATATATAACTATATATATGTGTGTGTGTGTGTGTGTGTGTGTGTGTGTATGCTTTTCCCTAATTGTTGTTTTTCGTTGTTGATTTTATTGATGATGATGACGTCCTTTTTCCTATTCTTCTTCTTCTTCTTCTTCTTCTTCTCTGCTTCTTCTTCAATCGTTGTTTTTCGTTGTTATTGTTGTTGATGGTGGCGGTGGGCTTCTACGCTGTCTTGTTTTGCTTTTACTTCTTTTCTCCTTCTTTTTCATCTTCGTCTTCTTCTTTGTCTTGTTGTTGTTGTTGTAGTTGTTGTTCTTCTTCTTCTTCTTCTTCTTCTTCTTCTTCTTCTCTCCATAATTATTCTCTTTCCTTTTTCATCCTTTCTTGCCCTTCTTCTTCTTCTTCTTCTTCTTCTTCTTCTTCTCTCCATAATTATTCTCTTTCCTTTTTCATCCTTTCTTGTCCTTCTTCTTCTTCTTCTTCTTCTTCTTCTTCTTCTCGTTATCCATTTTAACCATCTTTTTTTTCAATCAGCCATTCGTCTTTTTCTTCTTGATACTCATTCTTTTTCAACTGTTTTTCTCCTTAAACTCTTCTTCAAGTTTTTCTTGTCAAACACATCATTTACTTTTTCATTTCTGCTTTCTTTTTCTTCCTCTTCTTATTTTTTCACCGCCATCTTTTGCGGGTTTTTTTTTCTCCTTTTTTTTTGTCTTCCTCTTCCTTATTTATTTAACATCACATTCATTTTTTCGTGTTTTTTTTCCATCTCTTCTTCAACATTTTCTTTTCCTCATCTCATAATTATTCTTTCTTTCGAAACATTTTTATTCACTAGCTTTATTTCTTCTTTTCCCTTTCAATTCACTTCTTTTTTCCGCCTTTTCAACCAACAGTTTTTTTCTTCCATCATTTTTATTTCTTTTTTTTTTCAGGCTTTTCTTTCTATTCATAAAGCCATATTCGATGGAAGCGTGTCATGAACGCAACATTTTGATTAAATGAAAACACGTCTGCTTCTTACGGAATGAAAATCTCAAAGGACCGGATCCGGATGCAGATACTTTTAGCGAGTATTGCGCATGCCCTGTAGATCATATTACAGGCAACTCATAGAAAAGTTTCAAAGTAATCACTTAAATCGAATGAACAGATATTGGAAGAATTGATTTTTTTTATTTTTTTGCTTTGAGGTTTTATTTTTCTCGTTTTTTTTTTTTTTTTGTCTTTTCTTAAACAAAATAGAATCAAAGCAAGATATTAATTAACTGATTAAATTAAAAACAGAAGGAAAAAGAAAACGAACACTTAACTAGTCTCTATACTTTTCACCATTGCTTTCGGCAACCTCAAAATACGTTTACAGACGAGTAAATCTTTGCATCTATACTATTGTGAAGAATTCAGAAAGGTGCAAAATGTTGATGAATGTTGCCGTATCACTACAATCAATATTTAATCAATATCCCTTGAGGGTAAAGTAATGTTTCTTTTTCTTTTGTTTTCGCCCTCCAGTGGTAGATGCTTGAAAACGAACCTGTCGTGATTCTGGTATCAAATTATATGCCTTGGGACATTCGCCATTGCTATAATGATCCGTTTTGAGTTAAATGTTGAAGGCTAAATTATTCCAGCGTTTTATTGTAAACAAAATAAGGTTTCTTGATGCAGTTAGATGGCTGTAAGTAACCTTTGTTTCGTTTAAGGCATCTGGCATTCGATTTTTCAAGCCTGCCAAACAAAATCAAATCACTTTGGCATATTCTCTTCTTTTTCTTGCCCAAACTCTGTTTCTTACTCAATATATATATATATATATATATATATATATATATATATATATATAGTTATCCAAATACAGACTGTTTCGCTGTATCACAGCTCTTCAGAGTGGCTAGACATCCGGTTGCCTCTAGCTAGAATCGAAAGCCGACTGAATTGGAAATCAGTCGGAGATTCTAGCACTAAGCCAGTGGCGCACGGCAGGGATGAAGGTGAATTTTAGCGTATTTACTTTTAGATAAACAACACATTCACTGAGAGGACTCGATTCGCTTTACCGAAGAGTCAGGCTATAATATCCCTAATAATTCACTGTTTACAAACCCACACTTCCTCCCCCAGAGAGCTCAACAGAAATAAATTTTTCAGGAGCTTATCATATATATATATATATAAAGAGAGACTACTCAGTAACTGAAGATTGCATTGTGCATGAAACTCCGAGTCGTGCTGCTACTGGTGATATATATATATATATATATATATATATATATATATATATATATATATATATATATATGTAGAGAGAGAGAGAGAGATAGTTACAGAGAGAGATAGTTACAGAGAGAGAGAACGAGGAGGAGTCTCTCTTTTCCTATCTTTTCGAACTCACTGCCTTCGGGCGAAGAGTAACCCAGACGAGGCTATGCCGAAGGGTAAAGTCTAGGACCGACGTCGTGTATACGGGTCTACGGGCAATTTTTGCCCGAGCCTACTAGCTCGGAACGACACACGTTAAATATTGGCCTTGTCCCACGTCGTGCTTTGTGGGGAGGTTGGTAACTATGTAGGGATATGTACATTTATTAATATTACACTCCATCGAACACTGTTTTATTAACACCAGCACTACATGTGCGATATATTACATTCAAAACACACACACACACACACACACACACACACATATATATATATATATATATATATATAGATAGATAGATAGATAGATAGATAGATAGATAGAATTATTATTATTATTTCTATAAAAGAGATTATATTAAAAACATGTTGAAATCGCTACACAACTGCTATCAGGTTTCGAAACTGTTTGTACTACTTCAGAAGATGGTAAGTAACTGGTAATTAAATTTTTTTAAGGAAATTTAAAAACAAATTGTTACCTCTTTTCCGAAAATTAAAGAGGGGACATAAGGTCAGAATTAAAAGTAGACTTATGGGTATGTCTTGATTAACCAATTCAATGTCAGATCTGCACTAAATATCAAAGTTAGCTCAGAGGGTGGAGGTGAGTGGGTCATTTTTTCATGTCATGATAAACCGGAACATTGACAGGCCATTATTGATGATTGGAATCATCATTAAATCACCAGTTACTTACCATCGCCTGAAGAAGTACAATCATAGTATTGAAACCTGAAAGCTTTTAGGTCCCGATTTCAACATGTTTTTATTATATTCTTTTATAATTAAATTAATAATAATATATAGCTCTACATTATATTGAGCAATTTTTTTTAAAAAAGTTAATACTACGAACAGTGGAATTTAATCTATCTGTTCTTTCTCACATTTCAGTGGCAGAAATTTCTGTATAATTCTCGCTTTATAGGCATAATAATAATAAGAGTAGGAAATGTGCCTGGTGTTTTCATATATTTATATGCAATATGTAGATAATAAATGAGAATATCAGTGTGTCATTGTGTCACAACTTTACAAATTTACTCCTAGAAGCCGTGGCACAGATCCGAACCCGCAATCCTGAAATTTTGGATTCCAAAGTTTTCATTACAAGTGTTTTCTGATTCCGCCATCTTGGTTTCGACTGATAAAAGCAATTAAAGGGAAGCAACTCCCTAACTTTCAATAGCTCATGTTCAAAGAAAAATATTACTGTTCTTAAATTACAATGTTACAAAATAAAATTGTCCGCGTTTTCAAATTTACTTCGAGAGTACGTAGGCCAAGATATTTCATTTTGGAATCAGGCTGACTGCGTGAGCGAATTAAAAACATTCCGGGCTGGATCCTGACCCGCAATCCAGAAATTTTGGATTTCCAAGTTTTCATTACTGTGATTGTTTTCGTCGATTCTTATACGTGGTTTTTTGCGACGAATTTTTTTGTAAGATAAAATTTTTTATAAATTGCAAATAAATTTGAGAATAATTGAAATTAATTGCGGGATCCAGCGAAAGTCATCCATGGAATAAAAATAATTGTTTATACGCTAAATAAGGATCTACGTACAGCAAATTAGCTTTAAATTAAGTCGAGGCAGAAGAATTAAAGGGGGTGGGGGCTTAAATATTGATGCACTACTTACATGGAGCGATCAATTATGAAATCTTCTGTGGTTAATTATTGCCAATGCTCCATACCTATTGTGATGAAAGCCCAATCAAGAGTTTAAATGCCGCCCAAGAGGGTGATTTTCAAGCTAGTTTATAATATATATTGGTTGTCAGAAAAAATTATTATATTTTTTGCACTCTTTATATTATTCGCACTATTGTCCTCATCGTTGTCGTCATATTTATTACAACGTTTCGGCCTTTCAGTATCTGTCTATATTTCTGAGATGAGGTATTATGTGCACTATTTACATTATTCGGACTATTGTCCTCATGTTTGTCGCCATATTTATTACAACATTTCGACCTTTCAGTATCTGTCTATATTTCTGAGATGAGGTATTATGTACACTATTTACATTATTCGGACTATTGTCCTCATCTTTGTCACCATATTTATTAGAACGTTTCGGCCGTTGTACGCTCTGTCTTTCTTCAGGTGGTTGGAATGTCGAAATGAACTCTGTATTTCGCTTACTGGGGTAGACTATTCTAGTTCCACGTGCCATGTCTAATGAATGTCAATTATCAGTTATCTCCTGTTAATTCCCCTCTCCAAGTTCTCCACCGCCTTAAACAGGTATTGAACTCACTCTCTTTGGTCTTGTTACTGGATCTTCAAGGATGCATGGTACAGTGGATAGAGGCGTTAGTTGGTCTGGTGGTTTTGCTATGTATTTAGAAATGTTTAGTAAAATCCAAAGACGAATCTGCAAGAATCGCCAGAATCTATCTTGTACAGTTGTATATCTAACATTTGTCCCGGAGTGAATGTATGTTGCGTGTGGAATGTTTCTGTCCCCTAGGTCACTGTCACAAATAACGAACAAGCGAAATAAAAAATAGCAGGTAATAACGATACAAAGGTGTCTTCACGTGCTTCTTTTTACAATGACCTGAAATGGCTTGTTAATTTTAACGCCCCATAAACAAACATGCTCTCTTTTAATCATCTTAAAGAACTTTTTTGTCTTCCATCAGCACGGCTGATGCTATCCTCCAGAACTGCAACTAGGAAAGTTGATTCTTTGTGTCATGTTAGTTTTTATTACCAACCAAAATTTCTCTGACATATTTATACATCTACCATTTGTCCATCCTTTGAATATTGTTGTCACATCTTGTCAGGTGCTTCTGTTATGTATTTAGAGATTTTTGATAAAATCCAAAGAAGAATCTGCAATGTTATTGGTCCTGATATGGTATCTCAGCTTTAGTCATTTTCCTACAACCAGTCTTTGTAATCTTTACTGTTTTTAAAGTGAGGTTAGTTTTTGATTTTACTAGATTTTTCTTGAGGAAATTTAAGCATTGTTAACAGGTACGTTAATGGACAAGAAAATAAATATATAAAAGAGGCTATTAATCTGTCTTGAATATTTTTTTTTAATTTTGCTTCAGCTTTATAACTCAGAGCTAGGTCTCATAATTTCACTGTCAAAATTACTAGTTAAAATTCCGCCAAAACAAAATTTCTCCTTTGTTATTGTGTTAGGGAATCTTTTTGCCCTTTTATCATTATGGCTGATGCTAACCTCCAGGAGAGTTGCACCTGCTCAAATTAATATTTTCCTCCAAGATTAAGTGGAAAGATTATATTGAATCTACCATGCTATAACAGTTTTTCTCGCCAGCATCTATCTTGCACAGTTATACATCTAACATTTGTCCTGCGGTGAATGTATGTTGCGTGGGGAGTGTTTCTCTCCCCTGGGTCATTGTCAAAAAAAGTCATTGTCAATTGTTTCTTCCCAAGAAGCTGTATCTCATAATTTAATTGTTTAAATTGTCAGTTATAATTACTGCTCACTTGTAATTGTCTTAGGGAATCTTTTTGGCCTTCAATCAGTATGGCTGATGCTAACCTCCAAGAGAATTGCACCTGCTCTAATTAAAGTTTTACTCTAACACGAAGTGGAAAGATTATATTGAATCTCACATACTATAACAATTTTTCTCACCAGAATCTATCTTGTCAAATCCAAAGAAGAATCTGCAATGTTATTGGTCCTGACATGTCATCTCAGCTTTAATCATTTTCCTACCTACTCTTCTTTTACCTCTTTTATAAATATTTCCATCGTAATTTTTCTGATGAGCATGCCTCATTAGTATCTTGATATCAGGAATTTAAGCGCAGTACTAGATTGGCAGGTCGGTCTCATCAATCATTCCACTGTTGAAAATGAAAACAAAAAAAAACTTACGTTTAGAACCAGAAAGCGACAACTTCTTGGATACATAATGAAGAAGGAGAGTTTGGAAAATCTGACACACACAGGACATATTGAAAGCAAGAGGGAAACCATTAAGTAACCGGGATAGGGCATAGACTGGGAGGGATAGAAAGGAGGTAAATCTGGTTAAAGCTACAAAGGATAGGAAGTTGTGGAGAGCTATGATCCTTAGAATTAAAGAATGTGACCTAATCTGAGAATACCCTTCATATAGTTGATAGAACCTAAAGGATTTTCCTACTTCAACGAAGATATGTCTACGACAGTGAAAAGGCTCCCAATGTCCGCATTTTTTTCTTTTTTTTTTCGAATTTTTTATGCAATATTTATATGGATAACTTGAGCAGAGATTTCAAAAAAGATAGAGTAACCGAGGATATTTTCAGCTTTTATGTATGTATGCATTGATATATATATATATATATATATATATATATATATATATATATATATATATATATATATATATATATATATATATGTAGGTATCTATCTATCTATCTATCTATCTCAGTCTGACCATATCTACCTAGATATAAATCTATCTGCATATATATCTCAGTCTATCTATCTATCTATCTATCTATCTATCTATCCCAGTCTGAGTATCTATCTATCTATCTATCTATCTATCTATCTATCTATCTCAGTCTGACCATATCTACCTAGATATAAATCTATCTATCTATCTATCTATCTATCTATCTATCTATCTATCTATCTCAGTCTGATCATATCTACCTCGATATAAATCTATCTGCATATATATCTCAGTCTATCTATCTATCTATCTATCTATGTTTGTGTTTATCTATCTATCTCAGTCTGATCATATATACCTAGATATAAATCTATCTGCATATATATCTCAGTCTATCTATCTATCTATCTATCTATCTATCTATCTATCTATCTATCTCAGTTTGTATGCATGTATATATATATATTTATGTATGTATGTATGTATCTATCTATCTATCTATCTCAGTCTGTCCATATCTACCTATGTATCAATCTATCTTTCTTAGATTGTTCATATATATCTATTTCTCGGTGTCATAGAGAGGTATAAACAATATATATATATATATATATATATATATATATATATATATATATATATATATATATATATATATGCCACCTATATACTTATATACAGACATTTATCGATCTCGATCTGTGCATATCTGTTTCAGGTTGTTCATATATATACATATCACTCTGCATGTATTTTACTCGGTCTGTTCATATGTATATATCTCTTTTAATCAATATATATATATATATATATATATATATATATATATATATATATATAAACGAGATCACGTCTATGTATGTACATATATTTTTTTCTTCATATATATCTATCTATCTGTCTCAGTTTGTTCACATCTATCTATCTATCTATGTATCTCAGTTGATCTATCTATCTATATCTAACTATCTATCTGAGTCTGTTCATATCTATGTATCTCTTTCACTCTCTCTCTCTCTCTCTCTATATATATATATATATATATATATATATGTCTATATAGTAGATATGAACTACCTAATATATATATATATATATATATATATATATATTAGGTAGTTCATATCTACCTATATAGACATATTTTCTTCAGTTTCTTCATTTCTCTCATTGAGCTTTTCGCTTTCTTCCCTGTACCCCCATATATATATATATATATATATATATATATATATATATATATATATATATATATATCGAGAGAGAGATAGAGAGTTAGAGTGAGTGAGAAAGAATTGTGTTTGTCTTTGTGTGGATGTCGGTGAATTTGCTGGACCATTGACATGTATCTTTGTTTCCAGAAATGTGTACCTCTCTCTTCCACTTCAAGTATTTTTTTTTTGTTTTTCGTCCGGCAGCGTGTTACACGAAATGAATCCTCCTTCGTCAACCACCCAAAGGCAATATGTATATCAACCCACTCGTTGGTAGCGGGCGTGCACGTGCCGCTTAAGCTGAGAATTATTGAGTCGATGGCGAACCTTTCGCTGGAAGGCGTATCAAAGCGCCAAATTGACGACGGCAAAAATCAAGACACGAATCAATAAAAGACCGAACGAATGAACGGACTGTTTGACTTCGGGGCTCTTTTGTAACCTTCTCCGAGGACTAATAGGCGTATCCAGCAGAAGATTGCCCTGGGGTGAAGGGATGTCGTGTGAGTAGCGTTTCTATCCTCTGGGTCATTGTCAAAACAGTAACGAACAAGAATGCTGAGTAAATAAAAATAGCAGGTAATAACGATACAAAGGTGTCTTCACGCGCCTCTTTTTATAATGACCTTGTGTTTAAAGTTATTTCTGGAAGATTCTATAAAGCTTTAGATAAGAAGCAAACGAGGACTGTTGCCTTGGGTATCTCGAAATCGTGTGACAGGGTTTGACATGTTAGTCTTCTTCAAAAGCTGAACGAATTTTTGATCTGATTCAATATTTCGGATCAAATCACGAAATCTGAGTTGTCTTGAATGGCCACTCTTCTAGATCTTTCTTAATTAATTAGGCTGCCCGTCGGGGTTCTATCCATTGTTCCTAATTAAAATCAATGACCTTCTTGATGCCATCTGTTCTCGAATATTTACTCCTCTCTTAAATTTAAGTTTGATTGGCTCGATAAGTTCAGAATGGCAGCTGAACCCAAAAATCTGACCTACAATCCGTTGTTAAGTGGAGCAAGAAATGGCTTGTTAATTTTAACGCTCCATAAACAAACATGCTCTCTTTTAATCATCTTAGAGAACTTTTTTATCTTCCCTCAACATGGCTGATGCTATCCTCCAGATCTGCCGCTAGGAAACTTGATTCATTGTGCCATGAAGTGGAACGATGATATTGAATCTGATGTGCTATAACAATTCTTCTTGCCAGTTGTCATATCTGGTCTGGTGCTTTTGCTATGCATTTAGAAATTTTTGATAAAATCCGAAGAAGAATCTGCAGTGTTATCAGTCCTAACCTGGCATCTCAGCTTCAGTTACTTGCCTACCACCATAATGTAGCTTCCCTTTACATCTTCCATAAATATTTTCATCGTAAGTGTTCTGATAAGCATATCTCGTTAGTACCTTGACATCAGAAATTTAAGCACAGTACTAAATTGGCAAGTCTGTCTCATCATTCCACTGTTGAAAATGAAAAAAAACAAAAAAAAAAAACACTTAATTTTAGAACCAGAAAGCGACAACTTCTTGGATACATAATGAGGAAGGAAGGTTTGGAGAATCTGACACACACTGGACGTATTGAAGGGAAGAGAGAAACAGTAATTAACCTGGATAGGGCAGAGACTGAGAGGGATAGAAAAGGGATGAAGACCGATTAGAGCTACAAAGGATAGGAAGTTGTGGAGAGCTATGATTCTTAGAATTCCCCTCCTAATTTGGCTTTAGCTTCTCATTATATATGTGAATGTTTTCTTTTTAAATTCTCCAGAGTTAGCTTTATATTCATTTATATTTATTTATATTATATTTATTGGACCTGCCATGATATCTCAGCTTTAGTCACTTTCCAACGGCCAGTCTTTGTAATCTTTTCTGTTTTTAAAGAGAGGTGAGGTTTTGATTTTAATAGATTTTTCTTGAAGAGATTTCATCATTTTTAACAAGTGAATATATGTTGCGTGTGGAATGTTTCTGTCCCCTTGGTCGCTGTCATAACAGTAACGAACAAGGGAAATAAAAATAGCAGGTAATAACGATACAAATGTGTCTTCTTATACTTCTTTTTACAATGATCTTGTGTTAACAATTATTGCTAGAAGATTCTATGAAGCTTTAGCTAAAAATCAAAAGTGGGATGTTATTTGAGTTTCTCGAAGTTGTTTGACAAGGTTTGATATGTCAGTCTTCTTCAAAAGCTGAACGGATTTTTGATCAGATTCAATATTTCGGATCAAATCACGAAATCTGAGTTGTCTTGAATGGCCACTCTTCTAGATCTTTCTTAATTAATTAGACTGCCCGTCGGGGTTCTATCCATTGTTCCTAATTTAAATCAATGACCTTCTTGATGTCCTCTGTTCTCAAGTATTTACACCTCTCTTAAATTTAAGTCTGATTGGCTCGATAAGATCAGCATGCCAGTTGAACCCAAAAAGCTGACCTACGATCTGTTGTTAACTGGAGCAAGAAATGGCTCGTTAATTTTAACGCCCCATAAACAAACTTGCTCTCTTTCAGTCATCTTAGATACCTTTTTGTCTTCCATCATCATGACTAATGTTATCCTCCAGATCTGCAGCTAGGAAAGATGATTCATTGGGTCATGAAGTGGAACAATTTTATTAAATCTGACGTGCTATAACAATTCTTCTCGCCAGAAGCAATCTTGTCATATCTGGTCTAGTGCTTCTGCTATGTATTTAGAACGGCAGCTGACCCCAAAAACTGGAGCAAGAAATGGCTTCTTAATTTTAACGCTCCAAAAACAAACTTGCTCTATTTTAATCGACTTAGAGAAGTTTTTGTCTTCAATCAACACGGCAGATGCTATCCTCCAGATATGCAACTAGGAAAGGTGATTCTTTGTGCCATGTTAGACAGTTTTTATTACCAACCAAAATTTATCTGACATATTTATACATCTACCATTTGTCCATCCTTTGAATATTGTTGTCACATCTTGCCTGGTGCTTCTGTTATGTATTTAGAGATTTTTGATAAAATCCAAAGAAGAATCTGCAATGTTATTGGTCCTGATATGGCATCTCAGCTTTAGTCACTTTCCTACAACCAGTCTTTGTAACATTTTCTGTTTTTAAAGTGAGGTTAGTTTTTGATTTTACTAGATTTTTCTTGAGAAGATTTAAGCATTGTTAACAGGTACGTTAATAAACAAGAAAATAAATATATAACAGGGAAATTAATTTGTCTTGAATGTTTTTTTTTTATTTGTTTCATCCCTGGAATAGCCAGCTAGGTCTCATAATTATGCTGTCGAAATTGGTAGTTACAATGCGTCTAAAACAAAACCGCTCGCCTGTCTTAAGGAATCCTTTTGGCCTTCCGTCATTATGGCTGATGCTAACCTCCAGAAGTGTTTCACCTGCTCAAACTAAGATTTTCCTCCAACATGAAGTGGAAGTTTATATTGAATTTGTCATGCTATAACAATTTTTCTCACCAGAATCTATTTTGTTTTCATATCTGGTCTGGTGCTTCTGCTATGTATTTACAGATTTTTTGATAAAATCCAAAGAATCTGCAATGTTATCGGTCCTGACATGGCATCTCAGCTTTAATCTCTTTCCTACCACCGTAATGTATCTTCCTTTTACCTCTTCTAAAAATATTTCCATAGTAATTGTTCTGGTGAGAATACCTCTTTAGAACCTGATCATCAGCAATTTAAACACAGTCTTAAATTGGCAAGTCGGTCCCATTATTCCAATATTGAAAATGAAAACAAAAACAAAAAAAATACTTTTTCGAACCAGAAAGCGATAAATGAAATTTTTGGATCCATAAAGAGGAAGGAAGGTTAGGAGAATCTGACACACAGAACAAATCGAAGGCAAAATGGAAAACAGAAGGGAACTTGGATAGGGCAGAGACTAGAAAGGAATAGAAAAGGGATACAGACCGATTAGAGCTGCAAAGGATAGGAAGTTGTGAAGAGCTATGTTCCTTAGAATTCCTCTCCTAATTTGACTTTAGATTCCAATAATTTCCTATTATATATGTGAATGTTTTCTTTTAAATCCTCGAGTATTAGCTTTTACGTATTGATACAATTGTTTTTATTGTTAACCCTTGAACACTAACCATCAATTAAAGTTACACCACTACTAACCATGGGTATATCATACCCGATTTTGAAAATATCAAAAAAAAAAAAATATTAAATATAAATTTTTATTTAAAATATTTTACATGCAGGCACTTCAAACTTTGTACTTTGAGTTAACATTAAGAGGAACTGAAAAACATATTATTTAGGTAAGTAAATCAGGTACTGAAAATTGTAATTAAAAATAGGAAAATTTGTGCAGGGTACTATGTACCCATGTTTACTGTTCTAGGGTTAAAGTCTGCTTCTAGAAAAGTTGGTTCATTGTCTCAATTTTTATCGCCAGGATCTATTTTAACATATTTATATATCAACCATTCGTCCCTGCTTAAAATAAGTGTGCAACATATGGCCCGGTGCTGCTGCTATATATTTAGAGATTCTTGATAAAATAAAAAAAAAAAAAAAGACTCAACAATGTTATTCATCCTGACCTGGCATCTCGGATTCTATCACTTTCCCACTGCCTTAATCTAGCTTCCCTGTGCATTTCCTATAAATGCTAATTTTTCAGGTGAGAGTTCCTGTTTGGTACTGAGGATTTACGAATTTAAGCGCGGTACTTAAGTGGAGTTGAGATCGCTAGATACTACCGTAAGTTCTTTGTTAACAGTTTCTTCTCTCGCACTTCTTACTTGTGGAGCTATTTTCTGACCTCTTTCTTTCTAGTCAACGTTGATTAGCAAGAAATTTAAATGCAATGTCAATCGTTATCTTCTGTCTTCTTAATTCTTGTTCTTTTATTGTCCTCTCTCCTTAATAGTGTTTTCTTTTTCTCATATTCTCAATTTGATCTTCTAAAATTGAAATGCAATATCAATCGTTATATTTTGTCTTCTTGATTCTTGTTCTTTTATTTTCCTCTCTCCTTAATAGTGTTTTCTTTTTCTCATATTCTTAATTTGATCTTCAAAAATTTAAATGCAATGTCAATCGTTATCTTCTGTCTTCTTAATTCTTGTTCTTTTATTGTCCTCTCTCATTAATAGTGTTTTCTTTTTCTCATATTCTCAATTTGATCTTCTAAAATTTAAATGCAATGTCAATCGTTATTTTCTGTCTTCTTAATTCTTGTTCTTTTATTGTCCTCTCTCATTAATAGTGTTTTCTTTTTCTCATATTCTCAATTTGATCTTCTAAAATTTAAATGCAATGTCAATCGTTATTTTCTGTCTTCTTAATTCTTGTTCTTTTATTGTCCTCGCTCCTTAATAGTGTTTTCTTTTTCTCGAATTCTCAATTTGATCTTCAAATATTTA